GTATACACCTTGTTGCACGACAATCACAAAATTATAAATCAGGCTTTAGCAGCCAAAGTTTTCCAAAATTGTGATATTGTTTTTAATAATTATTATTATATTACATTTTTCTTGTCTGATGTTTAAATCCAAATGTGCACCAACATTTTATACAAGCTTCACTCTTTTTAGTGAATATAATAGCCAATATATTACATATTTTCAGCCTCGCTAAGACTTTCTCAGGGTTTCATGAATACTGGAACTTTGAATAACCATTTATAATCTTTCAATTATTGTAATAACTATAATAATTAAAAACCAACCAATTTCCATACTACAATAATACAGCTACAGATAACAAGTTAAAATGATAATGCTACAGAATCAAAACTGTAAAAAAAAAATGCGTTCCTGCCTTCTCTTTTATAAATCTGGTCTTCAGCTTTAAGTGAACCCTGTAAAACAATATAACTGACATGAGTCATAATCATAAATGCAAATAAAGTACAAAAAAAAGAGCTTGTTTACACCTCAGTTTAAATAGCACTCACATGAGTCATCCATGATAGGAACAATATTTAGTGGTGGCCATTTAAATCCAATAAGCAAAGAAATTTTAACGTGATTGCTTTAATGGAACAAACACAAAAACGGCATTCTTGATGACCTAAAATGCCTTAAGCAGTTACAATGCATGCTGGGAAAAGCCACTATGTGCTCCGGAGCAGAACTAGGAGATGAAAGTAATATTCTGTTCCTGTTTGCTCACCTGCAGTCACAGCCAAAGCAAGAAAACAACAAACTGTAACTGAAGCGCATATACAAAAACAAATCACCTTCTGAAGTTGTAGATCTAAACAAGAGATCAAAATAAGAAACAAATTCACATATGAGATTTTATCTCGGACTGTACAATATACGTTAAATTTGTTAATATATGGTAAAATATTTGAGCGGAATATGCCCATGTCTTGTGATTTAGTTTAAGCCTTTGAGCTTGCATTACAGGACATTACAGTAACATGGTGGCTTTGACTGACATGTTCATTAGTTTGAAACGATACAGGTTTTGGTAATAAGCCAGCCCATTTTCTCAATTGTTTTTGAAAATGATTTATCCTATAATGGTCTATCCTATCTCTCAGAGATAGTGACATTACGAGACTGTAAAACAGTGCTAAAGAAAGCAGTTTTCTGAAGTCATGTGTGCATCAAGTGCCTCTGCTGACCAAAAGTTCACTATGTGCAACAGGACAGTGAACAGGTGTTATACAAGATGCATCAAAGGACAAAGGAAAATGTGCATAACCGACATATTATCCTTCTAAATCTTGATTTCTTAACTCTTCTGACATTAAAAATAGAGATATTATGTTGTCTAAAAATGAACATGCCACCAAAAAACATGCCACCCTTTTTTTTTGTTTTCCTTTTTTGCCAAGATGTATCTAAATGACACTTTGTTTTAAATTTGGAAGAACTGACATTCATACTTTAATATATTGCAAGTGTATGTATTCATTAGATAGATAATAGATAATTGCATAATAACAAAAGACAATAACAAAACATAAATGACATGACATCCATAAAACAACAAAACATAAACTTATATGATTTTCTTTCTCACTCTACATCTTGGCTTTATCACCAAGCAAAACCTGAATATAATATAATATAATATAATATAATATAATATAATATAATATAATATAATATAATATAATATAATATAATATAATATAATATAATATAATACATATTGATTGTCTTTGTGTATGCACAGATAATAATAAGTGTCTCTTTGTCCTATGTCATTAACTGTGTGTTAAACTTTAATCTTTAAGCACTAAAAATCTTTGGCCTGACACCAATAAGCTTTGTGAACAGTAAAAATTTGTGCAGTTTTGACTGTTTTGCACTTTACTCCTTGAATTTAATTTGTGTGTGTGTGTGTGTGTGTGTTTCTAGATTTCAATAACTCATCAATAATTATCTTGCATAATTGATTTGATTACATCAAATAAAATAATTTAAGATCAAACAATTACACAATAACTATGCAATTATTAAGAATTATACAATTACTCGATAACTGTGACAGACCAAATTCCTGTAAACTTCCTCGCTTGTGAATACTGTGAGTTTGTGATTCAACATCATGCATGCTTTTAAGTGTAAATGCTGTGTACTACAATTAAACTGACATGTCATAACAGTGTTCCCCTAGGATTTTTTCCAGCTGTTGTGGCAGGCCTTTTACACAGATCTACCGATGGCGTTTTTTCAATGATAAATGCTGTGAGCGCAGTATTACAAGTAGGGTTGGGTGATGTCAACCAATTTGGCATCGTACGATGTCTAATGTGAAACATCGCAATGGACGATGGCATCATCGTCATTAGCCCCTTTCACACAGTGATACCGGTAAATGTCCGGAAAATTTCCGGAACGACTTTACCGGTATATTCAAAAAAGCGCTGTTCACACAGGCGAGGACGTTACGGAAATTTTCCGGAAAAGAGCATTCACACATCCATTCCAAAATACTGGTAAATTCTGACATCATTCACCACAAATGAGCTTTAAACGGCTGCGCTTGTGTTTGTAAACATTTGACTAAATTACAAACTCTGTGGATGATCAGTATAGTGAACAACTTTCGCAGGATCATTTTCGCATGTCGAGATGTTCATAATATGTGCGTGTGCTGGCGCTCACAGGCTGTTTCGCAGGCACACGCAAAGCTTGAAGGTAAACAAACAACGGCTTGTCATAAGCATCTCATCGATGATTATTTACACAGTTGACATTAAGAAGAACATATAAACGTGATCTGACTAACTTCAGCAGTTAAATGTGTCTGGAAAAATATTCAAAGGCTTTTATTCTCATAAACCGCGCGGACGTAAATGCGTCTGACAGTTGTGATTGGCTAAAGCAGACGTCTCACGTCAGCACGTTCTAGACGTGCACGCGCTTATTCCGTCAATCTTCCTTCTGCATTCACACAGCGCAGCATTCCGGCAAATTGCCGGTAATGTTACAACTTCTCTTTCCGGAAAATAGCCAGAACGAATTTACCGGTATTTTTAAAAAGGACCTGTTCACACATACAGACCTTTCCGGAAAATTGCCAGTAATTTTCCGGAAAGGTCTGTATGTGTGAAAGGGGTTATTGTCAGCAGTCAATTAATTATGAACAATTAATTAATTCATGACAAATTAATTATTTGTAGCCTACCGTTTTAACTACCTGATCCACATGGTCTTTGTTTAACCCATAAACAAATCATACAGTAAATGAATAAAGATAAGTTACACACATAATTACCACCTGTCAATCACTTCGTCCGCGGGACTCGTGAACAGGCGTAAATAGGCAGAGTGATCTGTGTCGTTATAAATGCGTCGACAAACTTGGTTAGTAAAAAAGTTGCTCAACCAACAGCAACCAACCAACAGTATCTGAGGTTTCCGCTAAAATTACTAAGTACAAGCGTGAAAGTGAAAGACTGAACCAGTCTACTGACCCGCTGGCTGCCTGGACCCGCTGTCTCGAGCGCATGACAGTGTGTGTGTGTGTGTGTGTGTGTGTGTGTGTGTGTGTGTGTGGTCACGTCATGTGCGCTTTTATAGTATGGAAGGAGGGCTGCTCAGAAATGCTAGGTGAAACGCCAGAGTGGATGTGGATCGTTTTCGTTCTAAAATGCCATTTAAAAACTAAGACCTGATAGTGTGAACAGGGCCCGAGTGTGTATTTTTCACAAACGGATTTGCAATGGGGGCGGGTCGATGGATCGCGGTGCCGGCTCAGCATCGTGGTACCTGTCGGCCATCTACGATGGCATCGTCTATCGGCCCAACTCTAATTACAAATATGCATAGGACAATAACCGTTTTCAAGGTATTTCGTGGTTTGGAAAAGCTAAGGTTTTAAAACTGTCAGAATGTTTTGCAATACCATTCCTAAGGTATATGTACGAATTTTTTATTTACTTTTTTTTTTTTTTTTTTGGGCAACAGTATCTCCAGCAGAAAAGATATCCAAAGATGCCGTTTTAAAATTTAAAGAAATCAATGTTTTTGAAACTGATAAAGACAGCAGAAGTCAATTAATCATTTGAATAATATAGCCCGACACGTTTACTGCTCCAAAATGTTTTAAGTCTTTCAAAACCGTGAAACTGTGATATTTTAATCTAAGGTTATCATACCGTCAGAATCTTATACCAGCCCATGCCCAGTCTGAAATAGACCTTTTCAAATTTCATGACATTCCAGAAATCCCATGACTCGTGGGAACCCTTGTGTAATCCTTAATGCAGATTCAAACCAGTGTGGGAGTAGCAGGATGATGGCTTTTTAGCAAATGTTTTCCTTCTATTCATCTGCAGTGTCTTGTCTTCAATGTAAGCGCGCTCTTAAGTGATGACTCATCTCGCTGACCTGTCAATCAAGCCTCCTCAGGCCACATTATTATTGACTTCCTCATCAAGTAAGTCCGACATCTTTCACTTCTGATCTCTCTGCACCTCCTCCTACGAGATCTGACCACGACTGACGCCGGGGAACGTGCTTGCTTAACGTACGCTGATAAAACAAACGGGAAGGGCTTCGGAAAAGTTTCCTCGAGCGATAAAAGAATAGGAGAAGCGTTACCTTTTAATCAGAGATGCGTGTCGGGCTCTGCATCACAACGGTCAAATGATAAGCCATGAAAACAAGGAAGCCTGGTCAAACTTCACAGCTGATGTATCAAACACACATATTTCATGCTAGTTACACACACCACTAACATTACATGACGCCTCCGTTAAACTGTACTTTTGATTTGCATCTTAAATTTGACAGAGAGGCCTGAATCATTTCTGTTTTGTATGTGGCTGAGGGAAACATCCAGAGGAGCGGCTCTGGAGCAGCGGCTAACAGTATTGACAGCTCCTCGGTACCGCTAACGTCAACCACCACCTGCTATCCGCATAAACAAATCAGTAGCTGAAACAAACAGCGGTTACCTTGAGAAAGGAGCGCGGCGGGTTTCACTTTCTTGTCAAATCCCTGGCTGTCAGACTGAGAGAAAATTCCCCTCCTGCCGCCCGAAGAGTCTCCAGTCTACGGGCCTTGGCCTTCACTTCCGCTTTGAGGGACGAACTTCCGTGATCCGCCTTCTTCCGACGACGGAGGAGGAGGTTGGTTTTTGACATACGTGATGGCGGCCAATAAAAGTGAGGTTACTCATTCATAAACCATAGTATGTATGCTTGCAAGTATAATTTAAATTATAAAATATGTTCATAGTAAGTCCATTTGTATGTATTTGTAACCCACTTTAGTCGTATTTACATACTATCTCTGTCCATTGCAACATGCAAATACTGTATCCTTGCTGGACTTTTTTTTATAAACAATGATTTAACAGTAACAGAAAGGCAATAATACTTTCTAGAATTACACAAAAGACAGATTACAGTCAATTTAGATACATTCACAATCTTTCCATCCTCATTAATAATAATACTTCTCTTTTATAAAATCACTTGGAGTTTCAATGAGATAGTTGTATATTTCGGGGTGGAAGCTTGGCCATTTTGGTGTATCCAATATCCATTGGGAGGGTGCTATTGCTAATGGACCTGTCAGATAACGCCGATCACTTTAACATTCATTTTGCCCATTAATTGAGCTTATCACTGGGTGACAAGCTGTTATAATACACTGAAGGCATTATGTAAATAATATATAAAATATGTAATCAATATAACTCATCTCCAAGACAACAACAAACTCTGTACCGCATCGGATGTCATTCCCTCGCCGTAAATGCTAGCGATGCCGTTTCTGCAATCTCGCTGCGTGGGCATCCTGAATGTTTACAAACCGGTAATTTGTCTATATAAACAAGTAAAATAACAAAAATTTACAAAAAATAAATGAAAAAGAAAAATATGTGGCAGGGGAGTTAAAGTTCTCTAAATATGAAAATCCACTAATGATGAAAATAAGTTTCCTGCTTTTTGGCTTTTCATCTCTTTTAACGTCTTCAAATATATCACAAATTCTTCTTTAAACACCACTATTCTTGAATTTTGAAGAATTTACATTTATGAATATAGAATTTTAATAATAATAATATCAAATGATTCATTATATACACTCAGAAATAAAGGTACACAAGTTCACTGGGATGGTAACTTTTCAAGTACAAATTTGTACCTAAAAGGTCCATTTTAATACCTTCAGGGTAAAAATTAGTACCCAAAAAGTACAAAAGTGTTCCTCCTAAAATTTTTAAGTACTAATATACACTTTTGAGGTACCAATATGGACCCTTTAAGTACAAATATGTACCTTTTGAAAAGGTACCACCCCAGTGACAGCTTGCGTACCTTTATTTCTGAAAGTTTAAGATATTTTTAAGTATTAGGCCAAACTTAATAATTTCCCATGAGAAGACAAGTCTTACAGATATTTTCTATTGTATCCAAACTAATACTTTGTCACAAAGTCTTTGTACCTCACATTGGATAAACAAGTGTTCAATATCTAAATTACAAAACTGGTCACCAGTTTAAACCTTAAAAAATTCTTTTGTAGGATAAATATGATTCATAATTTTAAAGTGCACTTCTTTACATTTAGGACTAACAGGAAATGAAATAAATCTTTTCTAATATCATGCACATTTTTCTTACAGTTTTTCTCAGTGGCTTTGGTGCATTTCTCACAACACTATTTACATTTGCACAACAGTTAATGCATTTTTCAAAACAATGAGTCATTTGTGCACATCATAGTAGCAGTTTCTCATTCCTTCCAACAAATTGCAAATGCTTTTGGACATGCATCAATTTCTTTCATAAAACTCTCTGCTGTTTATAACATTATCATCTGCTTATGTCACGTCAGTCAACATTAAATAATCTTGTAAATGCTGAATAGTCATCCCATATAAAACTAATAGTCCTCATTTCATTACTTGAGTCATTACGTACAAAAATGTTGAACTAGTTGTCAAAATCTGTCAAGCACATTTTGTACAAAAAAAAAAAAAATTCCCTGAAAATGTCTTCTAAATTGAACAATTTGATGAATGATTTACAGACCTGTGTATGTTGTAGGTTCAGTTCCAATATTTACTGAGATATAGTTTACAGTTGTGCACAGCTCTACCCAAAGGAAGTTTATATTTGTTGTAAATAAGGCTGTATTTATTATTTTGCTCAATGCTGTGAATAAATTAGAATTGTAAAAAGCAAATGCAGTAAAACTGTGAAACATACATATTCAGTGTCTTGTACTCAGATACCTCACTAAATGCAGTGATGTCTAACTTAACTGTAGTTTTCAAATGGCTGTGCAAATAGTATACAGTGCTGTCTTGAGCAGTTTCAGGACATGTCACCAAAGTCTGACTTTTTTACGTTGGAAAAAACTTACAGAGTAAACTGTCATAATGAAAACACGACAAAGCCATTTGACTATCTTGTTTATAAAGAATGGTGTCAGGATTTTTCATCGTAATGACTCTGACTCTTTCATTGACACGAATACTTTTTGAGAAAGTGACACGCTTTTGTAGGTCATCAACTAGGTTTTGCAGTTAATACTAAATGTTTTGAAAAATGCATGAATTGTTGTGCAAACGTAAATAGGGTTGTGAGAAATGCACCA